CACACACACACACACACACACACACACACACACACACACACACACACGTCGCCTCAGCCTTTTGTGCCGCCGCTCTCCTCACTCATGGCTTTGTGATTACGGTAACACGGTATCTGCCCTCTGGACCGACCAACACTTAACTGCAGCATATGCACACGTGATGACACGGATACGAGCCGGGCCTTTAACATCGAAGTGACCACAAGTATGCAGCTGGGTTTCCGTAATGTGCGGTGTGTTCGGGGTCTTGCATGTTTTGATGTACTTTCCAGATCTTCCTCCTGGGTGAAATAGTTGCTCGGCTTTAGACGGCCGGGGTTAAAGATAAGTCACATGAGGTGATTTGAGCTGTTGCTACAACAAAACCAGCGCAGCGGTTAAAAAAAACCTGCACACTCAACCCAAAACAAGTTAAGAGATGGTAAGCTTTGTGGCCCTGACTGTGACTTTAACAGTTAGTTAGTTAGTTAGTTAGTTTTTGGATCAGGTATTTCAATTTGCGACCCCAGTCCTCACTAACAGAGTAGGAGACTGCTTTCTTTCAGTCTTTTCCTTTTGATTTTATCTTCGCCTCACACCAACAGCACAGTTTTTAAGTGGTGATGTCAAATGACCAGAATGTGAAATCTCACAGTAACAAGTAGTGGTAACCGCAGAGCTAGATCACTGATGTAAGGAGGGCTGTAATAACAGATGGCACCAAAGGCCTTTACAAATAGAAACGACACAAAAATGTGTCGGATGTAAATATAAATATAGGTGCAATTCAATGCTCTCTGCACGACGTGGTTAAACTCAGAAAAATTAACCATGTTCTGGGAAAACAAAAATAATTGTGAAAAAAAAAAAAAAAATGGCCCCGTGTGTGAAAGGCCCTAAAGCAATGAATCACGACGTCGACCCTCCACGGCTGGTTAACCTTCTATGTGACCATTGGAATTGAAGTGATATAGCGGCCGATTCTTCACAGGTGTTGCACCAACCAAATTACAGTACAGAACATTACAAGTCGGAACAAAAAACAAATTTCTTGGCAAAAAAGCCCAACATTTTAGTTCGAGTCACATGTCACTTGTTTGTTTACACATTCATTTGTTTAGGTCGGTTAAGAGGAACTCTGTTGAACATCCTTACTGTATAAAAGTAAAGGGACTTATTGCCGCGTCATGTAGTCTGTGTCTGAGGTCAGATTGCTGCAGTGAAAGCTTGAGGCGACATCATGCTGATTAGCGCGGTGGTGCTAAGCTGCTTACTCCAGACCCCACCGGAGCGTTCGCTGTTTCCTAGTGCTCTCAATTAAAGCGCTGTAATAACCTGTGGCATGTTCCAAAGTGTTTCACACCCAGCGAGCCAGTCAGCCGTCCCACGCTCCTCACACACTGTTGACCGGCCATGGGCGGTGCGGGTAAGGTGGTCGCAGGATGCATGACCCCCCCCCCCCCCCCCCCCCCCCC